GTTGGGTCTCTCTGCTTCTCCTCCTCTCTTTTTTTCCTTCTTCCTGACTTGTTTCCTACCCCAGTAGCATTGCTACTTGCCAAATGTCACAGGGAGGGGAGAACTTCACAATTCCCTGGGCTCTATGGAGAGGACACCCACCTCCATGGGGACCCCTCCTCTTCTTCCAGCACATTGACTGATGTCATCTTCTGCCCTTCCCTCAGTGTGCCCTCCTGGCAGAGACAGGGCCTACCACTAGGTTAGAGCAAGGCTTGGGTTGCTGACAGCTGGCTGGCATTTGACACGCAATTGTTGCCCATTTCTGTTTATTGTGTGGCAGTTTGAAGACCCCATTCCTTTATCTGGACATCACTCCTCTCTCCCCTTCAGTCATTCCTTAGGCCAGCTTCCAAGTTCAGTGACCTTTAGGGTTGGGGGGGCAGTGTGGAGCCTTGAAAAGAGCTCTGTTCTAGGAGTTGGGAGACCCCCCACTAATGAGCTGTGTGATCTTGTCCTTTCTGGGCCTCAGTTTCCTCACCTGTACAGTGGGGGTTGTATCAGGTGGGTGTTTAAAGTTCCTCCCTGTGCTACATTTTTGAGCCACAAATGAAAGACTGCAGTTGTGGCAGTGTGATTAGGCTTGGCAGATGGGTGAGATGAGAGGGAAGGAGATGTTCTTGCCCATAAGAACAAATAACAAATGGGTGGAATCATCCTTTCCCACCCATTTCATTGTGCCTCCCTGGTGTTTTCAGAATGCAAATGACAACCTTTGTTTTTGTCTGCATTCCCATTTTCAAACCTATAATCTTCTTGTATCTCAATGAACTAGTGTTTACTGTTAGACATCTGTGGTGCAGAATTCATGTTAAAGTGTGCTGTTGGGGGTCAGAGTCGATCACAGCTGGTCCCTGGAGAGTGCTGTGTGTGTGTCAGAGATTTATTGTGCTGGATCTCCAGGTTTTTTGTTTGTTTTAAATCTCAGTCTTAGTTTTGCTGGTTTCACTTAAAACCAAAGATTGTGAAGGAGGCAGTTCTTGTACTCTTGAGTTTTGGAGATTTGCGATGTGGTTGAGGGGTGAGGATCCTCTCTTTGTATTTCCTTTGAAGCATTTCACCTTGGGAGGGCAGAAATGAGCCTTGTTGAATATCAACTCCCTCTGCCAGAGGAAGCAATAGTGAATACTGCTACAATATTGATTGATTTCTTTTTAATGAGTACTGAAAAGCCATTTTGATGCCAGGATCTTCATTTCACCTTCAGATAAAATGTTTTGTTTTTCATTCTCTGAAAAAGATTTTTTAAAACTTTTAGAGTGTTTTAAGAATTATTAAAGGCAGTAATTTCTAGATCCTGCTGTTGCTACCTTGGCTTCTCTTCTTTCCCTAATTCCTTTCAGCCCTACCACCAGTGTAGACATGTGTTAAAAATTTCTGTGTTTCTTCCCATTAGTTTTCTGTTTTGACCCTCCTCTGGTGAAGTAAGCATGGAATTGTTACTCTTGTTTAACAGAAGAGGAATAGAGACATGACAAAGTTAAGTGACTTGTCCATGGTCACACAGCTAGTTGATAAACAATTTGGGGTAACTATCCAGGACTCTGAATACTAGTGACTTGTTAATTTGACAACACTCTTCCACCCCTAGTCCTCGCCCTTACACACCTGCCATTAGGGAAGTCTTGCCACCACAGCTTACAGTCCTTGCCATGTTTCTCCCTTGCTCCACTGTCTGAAAGCACAAATCAGAAGCCAGTTCCATAACTGGGGGAAAAGGTAGACAGCAGAGGATAGGAAGTAGAGGAGGGAGGAAGGTTGCACAAAGCTCAGATTTGGTTTTTCTTCCTGAAGTTGTGAGAATTACTTATTTTTACAGAGAATTAGGAAAGTGAGCAGACTCAGCATTCTCTTTTCCTTGCCAAATGGATTGAGTTTCTGGTGGCCAGTATTAGTTGTAAAGTAATGTTAATCTGCTCTAGTGGGTCCATCATCAGATTTGTGTGCAGGGGAGACAAGATTGTATCTGGGGTAAAGGGCTCTGCGTGTAGGGCATACCATCTTTGTGTATGATTGAGCCCTAGTGTGTTAAATGCCTCACACTAGGATCTTACCCATGTATGGAAGTTGCCTCCCTTGAAAGTATTGAGCTTTTTGAAGAGATAGTACAGCATCATGGTTAAGGTTAGAGATTTTCTCTGCCCAGGTTTGAATCCTGGCTGTGCCACTTACTAGCTGTGTGACCTTGGACAATTTACTTTACCAGTCTGTGCTTGAGTTTGCTCACCTGTTCTAATTGTCGGGTTGTGGATTAAATGAGTTAATAAATGTAAAGCACTTAGGAGAGTACATAATGTTGTGAGCACAGCAATGTTCCTTCCATCTAGCCCTCCTTCCCTCTCTCCCTCATGCATACTCTGTGTGAGTATGTGTTTTGTTTTGACAGCAGCTTTTGGAGTCTTCATTTCCAGGTGGCCTGCTGAACCCTCCAGGGAGCTGTAACCTCATCCAAGTTTTAGCTGTGGGGTATATCTGCCTTTGACATGTGTTCTTTTTTTTTTTTTAAAAGATGACCGGTAAGGGGATCTCAACCCTTGGCTTGGTGTCGTCAGCACCACGCTCAGCCAGTGAGCCAACCGGCCATCCCTATATAGGTTCCGAACCCAGGGCCTTGGTGTTGTCAGCACTGCACTCTCCCGAGTGAGCCAAGGGCCGCCCGTGACATGTGTTCTTAAATGTGGTTATCAGTGGGCTACTTTGTGGAGAGACTGGGCAAAAGAGAAACCAGAGGGCATGCACTGTGCATTTGTGCCACATGTGCCCTGGATCCCTACACCTGAGGGACTGGGGGCACTGTGAGACTTAGCGGAACCTTTTATCAGGATGAGAATGTTGACCAGCTTTCTTAGTCAGCTTGAGCTGCTACAGCAGTACTATAAATGGGTGGCATAAATAACAGAAATTAATTTTCTCACAGTTTTGGGAGCTGGAAGTCCGAGATTAGTGTGCCAACACAATTGGGTTCTGGTGAGGGCCCTCTTCCTGGCTTGTAGATGGCTGCCTTCTTGCTGCATACTTGTGTGGCCTTTCCTTGATGTGTGCTCTGAGGGAGAAGGGAGGAATGTCTTCCTCTTCTTGTGAGGCCACCAATCCTGTAATTACCTCCTGATAGTCTTATCTCCAAACAGTCACATTGGAGTTTAGGGCTTCAACATATGGATTTGGGGAGGACACAATTCAGTACATAATACCAGCATTTCTCCCCTAGAGTTACCCAGTGAGGAGAGTTAGTAACATCAGCCTGTGTCATCTGTGGTCCCAGGTGCTGTGCTATTATTTGTAAGGCAGTGTTGGATCTCCCCATCCATGGGGAGGTGTTAGGTCTACATCTCCCTGCCTTCTTGAGGTGTAGAACAGAGTGTGAAGGAAGAGTGGAAGATTATGCTTACTTCTACCCTGCAAGCTCAGAACTGGTGTGTGTAGGAGGGACACCAACATTCTGAATTGTAATGGAGGCCTTTCTTGCCTTGCCACCTGTGTCACTTGTGTCATATATTTAGACTAGAGAATGAAATAAAACAAAACACAGTGGAAGCTCTATTTACCACCCTCCTCTTATCTAGCTCTCAGGAGTAATGAACACTTTTCAAGTCCCTCTGTAAAACACACTGAGAGATGCCCCCAGCAGGCCAACTGCACAAGGAGTGGGCTGCTCTCTGCCATACTCACTCACTTCAGCACCCACTGGCTGAATTATGTGCTTACCAAGAGCCAGCTTGTTCCCAAACCCATTTGTACAGTTGTAGCTGATATCGTATTTAAATAATATATTTAAATATCAGATAAACTGATGAAATATGACTGCAAATGAAGTGATTTTCTTTGCTTTTTTTTCCCATATGAGCACTAGTTAAAAACTGTGGAATGGCTTAGTAAGTCCAAATTGCTAAAATACATTACTGTCAGATTAGATGAGCATTAAAATTGGGAGAAATCATAAAATTCTAAAATTTTATGCTGCAATTACTCTGCAAGTGTCTGCGCTTTTACTCCACCTTAAAGAATCAAGAATTGGGCCGGCCCGTGGCTCACTCGGGAGAGTGCGGTGCTGATAACACCAAGGCCCCGGGTTCGGATCCCATATAGGGATGGCCGGTTCGCTCACTGGCTGAGCGTGGTGCTGACAACACCAAGTCAAGGGTTAAGATCCCCTTACCGGTCATCTTTAAAAAAAAAAAAAAAAAAGAATCAAGAATTGGAAATCATGGACAAAGTATCATATCTGGTTCATGTAAGAAAGATGATGTAGAGCTCTTACCAGTTGACCCTTATTCAAAGGGCCTTGCCCTATGTCAAAGAATGGGTGAATGAATGCACATTTATGTGTATTATGCAAAAATAAATGTTTTAGGTACATCTTTTTTTTTTTTGCGTCTGGCTGGTACAGAGATCTGAACTCTTGACTTTGGTGTTAAAACACCACTCTTTAACCAACTAGGCTAACTGGCCAGCCCAGGTATATCATTTTTATGATTCCTTGCTCTAATATTTTTGATTAGCCTGGTTCTTGGACCTGATCACATTGGAAGTGAGGGTTTCTACTGTTGTGATTCAGTTTAAAGCCAGTTTGGTTTCAGTTAGTGGATTTAAGGAATTCTATTTTGTGTATGGTATAAACTGAGATTAAAACCCCATTAAACTGGGATTTTAAAGCAAATTGAGATGACTTATTTTGAATTTTAGTAGATTCTTTGGTTCCTCTTGTAGACTTGCAATGTATTGAGAGAGACCTAATTCCCTTACTTTACAAGTGAGGAAACCAGAGTCTTGAGAGGTGAAGCATGTGGGTGGTGAATTGTGGCAGGGGGCCAGAGTGAAGGGGGCAGAGTCACAGTGGGTAGAATCCTCCTTTCCAGCCTTCTACTCCTGTTTTCTGTCTGGCCACAGAGCTAGAGCACTCCTGTTGTGGAGAGCTGCTCCTCTGGTTACAGTATTGACCTGTGCTCCCCACTTTGGGACAGGACCAACCTGGAGGCCTTGCAGAAGAAGCTGGAGGAGCTGGAGCTTGATGAACAGCAGCGGAAGCGCCTTGAGGCCTTTCTTACCCAGAAGCAGAAGGTGGGAGAACTGAAGGATGACGACTTTGAGAAGATCAGTGAGCTGGGTGCTGGCAATGGTGGTGTGGTGTTCAAGGTCTCCCACAAACCATCTGGCCTGGTAATGGCCAGAAAGGTGAGTTTGCCTTGATGATCAGGTAATTGGATTATCTTTTGGGAGAACTGGAGGCCTAGGGACAAGAGTGGAATACTGAATTTTCACTGAGTACCTTTTTTTTAAAAAAAAAAAAAAAATGATGACCGGTAAGGGGATCTTAACCCTTAACTTGGTGTTGTCAGCACGACACCCTCCCAAGTGAACCACGGGCTGGCCTACTGAGTTCCTTATTGTGCTGTTTGAATTTTGAACTCGTGTTATTTGTCAGATTGTAGACAAACACACTAATGACTGTCTTAGTGTGTTAATCCCCATCCCCAGTCTGGAAAATAACAGCAAGTGACCCTTCTTTAGCTTTCTGTGTGCTGTGGAAAGAATGTCAGAGTGCCCATTTGTTATATATCATGTGCAGAAGAAGCTGCTTTCATTCACCCAGCTCCAGAGATGCTCAAAGCACTGATTGCAAATTGTTTCCCATGCTCCAGTCCTGCCAGTGATTCTACTTCATCTCCCCACAGTATAACATCTGAACTCCCCACCATGGCATGCAGTTTTGGAGCTGGACTTCCCTTTCCTGTCTACACTTGGTCCTCTTTTTGAACACAGCCCTCCTGCTCCAGAGGAGTTGGACTCTTCCATGGTTTTCAGCACATGGTGTTCATTCCTATCCCCATATTTTTGCTTGTGCTGTTCCTTCCAACTTCCAAACAGTGCATTCTATCTTCAGGGCCCAACTCTTGTCTAGCTTTCATCAGCTGCTCCAGCTCACACTGGTAACTACTACTTCCGTGTCCTCTGACACTGTCTATGGTATTTTTTAGAGTCTCAGTCTTTAAAAGTAATCTTTTAATGTGTCTGTCACTTTCTCCTCAGCTGGAATAAGGGACAGTGTTAGAGGAGATGTAAGGTAGCACCTGAGACTTTGGTTAAATATCAACCACATCAGGCTCCTGAGGTCAAAGAGGAATCTCTTGGGCAGCTTAAGTTAGCATACCTCAGTTCCTTATCCCCTTCTACCCTCACAACCCTTGAGTATGAAGCAAGTCCTCAAGGCCAATTACCCCTCATGTCTGAGCCCCACAGTTCCTTTTAGGGTAAGCCTTCATTAGCTTTGTTCTTGGGAGGGGCAAGCCCCCTGTTCCCCAGTCTTGGCTCCCAGGAACAGAAGCAAAGCTGGTCCTCTCCTGGTTATAGCCCTCCAGTGCCAACAAGTGCCTTTGTACATTGACTCTCAGTGCTTTGGTTGAGCAGAACTTTGTTAAAACTTACTTGTTTCTTCCCCTACCTTTAAGAGCTTAAACATTTAAGAAAGATTCCATCTGTCTGTCCTTCCTTCTTTCCTCCCATCCATCCCATCCATCCTATCCACCATCTGTAAAACCTCTCTTCCTGCTGCTTTTCTTTCCCCAGCTAATTCACCTGGAGATCAAACCTGCAATCCGGAACCAGATCATAAGGGAGCTGCAGGTTCTACATGAGTGTAACTCCCCATATATTGTGGGCTTCTATGGTGCATTCTACAGTGATGGAGAGATCAGCATCTGCATGGAGCACATGGTATGTGGTGACCTGTGGGCCTCTGGAGCAGTGGCTTGGGAGTTGGGTAGCTCTGGCCTAGTCTTTGGTCTAGGAGGTGACCAACTGCTTCCTTACTGCTCCCTGGATCCACATCTCTGCCTTGGACATCTGGGAAGCCTGACCATGAACCCTGGAATATTCACAAGATGATGGGCCTCCTTTCTAGGTCCCTGCTTCTCTTTAAAGAGAGGTGGCAGTAACCAGATATCCCTGGTGGATGAATCTAGAACACATCTTCCAGTGTTCTCCTTTTCAGATGACCCTAACATTTTGATGTGGGTAAGTGTGGGCTTTAGCATAGTTTAAATCCATTTATTGTATCCAATGCTGTGTGCTAGGTACAATGTTCTGGGGTTATGAAGATGAGTGAGACATTCCCCACCTTCAGTGTTTATAATCTACTTTAAGGGCAGCCTGAATGGTTTCTTTGGGCATGGAGAGAAGTAATCCCACCTGATGCACCTTAGTGGAGGGAGAGTCGTGAGAGGGCACTTATCAGCTAATTATTGTATGTGAGTCTTTTTACCATTAGTTGCCTGGAGTCCCTTCCTTTTCTTCCCAGTGCCTACCAATAATAATGAGAACAATAACAATAATAATGTGAATACTAATAATGATAAATGAATATTATTGAGTGTATATTATATTAAGCACCATCCTAAACAAATTAATATTTTATTGTATTGTCACAACTTTTTTGGGTGAGTACATTATTTCCATTTTACAGGTAAGGAAACTGAGGCACAGAGAAATTGAGTAACTTACCCTAGGTATTACAGCTAGAAAGGGTTATTAGTAGAATTTAAATCAAGGCAGTCTGACCCCAATGCCTATATTTTGTTGAATTCTCTGGAGAGTGATTAGAGGATTGGGGCTCTGTTTCCATTCTTGAAGCCTAGACCTTACAAAAGAGAGGCTGGCTTCATAGTTCCTATTTTTTCCTGTTTCCATTAGGCAGCATGGCATAGAAGACTTTGGAATCTGACAGATATTTACTCACATGTCCTTTCTCCCCAAAAATCCAAGTAGGGATTTTGTCTTGTTTGCCACTGTATCTCTAGTGCCCAGAATATTCTTGGCACAAAGCATGTGCTCAATATTTATTTGTTTACTGATTGTCACCTTCTCGTTGTGACCTTGGGCAGATTTCTTTATCTTTCTGATTCTCAGTTTCCTCATCTGTAAAATGACCATTATTATACCTGCCTTGTTGTGGTGAGGAGCAATTAAAATAATAGATGTAGGTCTTCTTCTAGCACACTGTTGGACTTAAGAGTATGTATTCTGCAAATGTTAGCTTTTGCTTTATTCTCACTGGGCTGACAGTTCAGAAAGGAGGGTTGACATGAGTCTGCATACTTCGTGGCTGCTGTGCTTTCAGTCCAGCATGGTGTCCCTTAGCTCTGTCTCCATTTTCTTCCTGACCCTCTAGACCTGTCCTGACCTCCATAATGAGAGTCCTGGTTCCTGGTCTTATTGAACTCCAGGGGAAACCTCCCGGGAGGTTTCTTCCTTACTGGTGCCCCATTTTGAACGTCTCTTCATTTAAATGATTAAGAAATGCCACATACATTGTTATAGGCATCTGCTGACATTTGTGGGTGCCGTATGGAACATGGATCCTGAAAGCATCTTCTCCATGTCTAAAGGTTATGGAGAAAGCTCTTGCTCCCTCTTGCTTCAACAAGAGTGAAGTATTCTCTATGGAAAGCATGGGAACATTTCTGGCTTGGTCCTAGCCCCCTGGCCTGGGGTGCTGTTTATTTTCCACTCGGGTCTTGGCCTCTTCTCAAGGGGTTTCTCATGCTCTTTGGTGATAATTGATATTTTAACTCTAGCCCAAGAGTTTTGGATGAAGATGTATAAATGATAATGGAGGTCCTGGAAAACTAGAAGGGGAAAAAGGTGGGGGCAATGGTGATAAACCAGTGACAGGAAAGGCCAGAGTAACCTTCTTTTCTCCTTGGTCTTGATAAAATAATAGAAGGTGGGTGGTGGCATGACTAGACATAAGAGCAGCTAGCTTTCAAATCTTCCACCACTTGCCAAGTCCTTTTCTGTTGTGTAGGTAATTAATCACAGCCCCATCACATGAAATGGATTGTTGACCCCCTAGCTGGTAGATAGAGTTAAAGCTCTGGCTGGCCGGTTAACTCAGTTGGTTGGAGCGTGCTGTTGTAACACCAAGGTCAAGGGTCTGGATCCCCGTACTGGCCAGCTACCAGGAAAAAAAAAAGAGAGAGAGAGAGAAAGTCACATAACCCGTAAGTGTCAGAGTCTCCAACCACAGATATTTAAATTTCTTTCTATTACCCCATGCAAGTTGTATACTAAAGACTTTTATCTCCACAGAGAAATGATTGGATGAGATCTTCTCTAGGGGCCCTTGCCCATGCTTGCATCCTATGTTTAGTAAGTGTCAGAGTCTCCAACCACATATATTTAAATTTCTTTCTATTACCCCATGCAAGTTGTATACTAAAGACTTTTATCTCCGCAGAGAAATGATTGGATGAGATCTTCTCTAGGGGCCCTTGCCCATGCTTGCATCCTATGTTTCTATGGTTTTTGGAACTTGTAGCCAGTTGGGGTTTACATTAGTTAATCAATATAGGTTCAGCTTCACAAACACTTATTATTTTTTTTTTCCTTTTTGTCTTTTTCCGTGTCCGGCAACGGATTGCAACCCTCAGTGTCGCCCCCGCACCGGACCGGGACCGGCAACGGGATTGCAACCCTCGGTGTTGCTCCCACACCTCGCTCAGCCAGTGAGCGGGAACCGGTCTGTATGTGGGATCCGAACCCTGGGCGGGAGCGCCGCCGCACTTCCCAAGCGGCGCACTATAGCAGTGCGCCACCGGGCCGGCCCACAAACACTTATTTTTAATGCCTGTTATGTGCAAGGTGCCATGTGAGTTGCCAAGAGGATAGAGACATTGAGAGCAGCATCTCTGCTCCCCAGAGCTGTTCACAGGCTGGATGGCTGTGTTCTAGCACCTTTTCAAGTGAGGGGTGTCAGTGTAGATGTAAGAGCTTCTGACCATCAGGCATGTGTTATCTCATGGCTGCTCTCTTCTGAACAGAAATTCTTTACTGAGTTACCTCTAAGTTCTGTACCGTCCAGAATTTTCCCTTTAATACAGGAACCAGGTGGTTGAACTCAAGGTTGCTTGCTTCAAAGTTGAGGATTTGGCCCCCCAAATTGATAGGTAATGGCTTATTTCTTTATTCAGACCCTGTTGGAATCTCTTTTATGAGCCTGTATGTCCTCTTGCCATGTGAATAGGACAGTCTTTTTATTTGTCTTACATTGACCTGTTTTGAGATACTGAGGGGGCTTCCTCATTCTGGAATCCTTCTTTATTCACTCTGAATTCATAAATGTTGATCACATCCTTTGTGTCCCTTGCCATGTCCATTCTCATCCCCTGAGCCGCCTTCTTCAGGAGGAGAAGATGACACTGGATATGACAGGGGTCAGTCTCTCATTCTCTTGGCCCATTTCCAGTAGCTGCAGATCAGTTCCCCCCGCCCCCCATGGATTTGGCTCTCGGGGGATGGTGAGATGCTCCCACACAAGTGCCCAAAGCAGAAAATACCTCTTGAATTACCCTGGGGAGCCTGAGCCTGGAAAACTGGCTGTTAGAGCTAGGAGGGTAAAAATCTTCTGAGGGCCAAACCACAGTGTCTGCACCTATTAGGTGATATGTGTGAATCACTTAATGGCCAGGATTGGGAAAGGCCTGGGGCTCAGTGGGAGAGAGTTAGGCCTTGGAGTCAGTAATAGGGCCTTCTGCCCCAGGTGTACCTAAGCCCAGAGGGCAGCTAGAACACTTCGTTACTACTAGAGGAGAGGCTCAGATCTGCCATAGGGTCTAGGCAGGACTGTGTAGGAAGCAGTTGTGGCCTGAAGTCCAGGCAGCCATGAGTGCCAGAGTAGCTTTCCGCTCTAGCCCTGGACAGTCTCACCCCTTCCTTGTTCCCTGATCAGGTCCTCCTGCAGGAGAGCCCCTGCATTGCTGCCCCTGACTGGAAAACTCTGACTGCTGACTGCCATTTTTCTTGGGATTTTCTGCTTTGCCTCAGCTTCAGCATCTCAAAGGTGTTGTCATGTAGAGAGCTCTGTTCAGTAGCCATATCCTGACTTCTGAGGTGCTTTGGTCCTCTCTGTATTATAGTCTGTACATGATGTGCTGTGTCATTAACATTTCCAACACTATATTATGAAAATTTTCAATTGTACAGAAAGTTGAAGGAAGGTACAGTGTACACCCATAAACCCACCACCCACATTCTACAACTAACATTTTGCTGTATTTGCTTTACCACATATTGTCCATCTCTCTATCTGTTTTAAAGTAAATCTGTTTCATCAGCATTCATTGAGCCCCATCTTTTAAAGCACTCAGCCAAGGGCTCATCTTTTCTAAAATTAAGCTGTATTTGCATTGCCTAGTCTGAGTTTTGAGACCCCAAAATTCAGGGGAAATGGATGCTCCCTGATCAGAACAGGAATGCATTGTCTTTGGGGAAGTTGATTTCCTTCTCACCTGGTAGCTGAGCACTCAGGGAACTGGGGACTCAGAGTGGATGGTTCTTATGCAGGAGTAAAAGCTTTTGAGCTATTGTTTTCATAAAGTATTTGTCTCTTCTATAGAAAACCTTCACAAAAGCACCACTGACTTAGTTAATAATTGGCTTCTAAAAATAAGCACTATTTCAGCAGCTTTAGTCAGTGAAGGCAAGTTCTTGGCAACAGTGAAGGGGAATTAGAAGGTTGTAGTGTTAGTTGCAGACAACCCTGAGTAATCCTGACTGGCTGTGCCCCTTGCATCTTGCTAATTCCATTGTTCACACTGTAATTCTGCTTGTAGCTCAGAAGGAGATTAAAGGGAAGAAAGCCAATGTTTTTTCTTTTTACCAACCTCTGGGGAAAGTGTGACCCAAGACAGTTAACTGAGCTGTCCTCTGCCCAGCAGGAGGAGGGCTGTTGTTTGGGTCAGTTGAAAGGTAGTGCTGTCCATTGCTGAGATGGAGGAAGGAACCTGAGGACCACAGTGTCAACTTTTCTACCTCATTTGAATCCGATTTTGTCCTCTGCCCAGCAGGAGGAGGGCTGTTGTTTGGGTCAGTTGAAAGGTAGTGCTGTCCATTGCTGAAATGGAGGAAGGAACCTGAGGACCACAGTGTCAACTTTTCTACCTCATTTGAATCCGATTTTGACAGAGTGGCTTTGCTATCTTGGTTTAAGTATATAGTCTTCTCTGATATTAGGCAAAACCATTCTAACAAAGGAGTGAAATCACATTTACTTGGAGCAAAATAGAAATAGCTTGGGAAATTTCTGCACTAGAATCTCTCTTCCCATTGGTAAAGGAAATTGAGGTACTGTGGCATTTCTAGGGAGGCTGCTGACTTGGGTGTAGTAACCTGGGCTGTGGTGGTGTTCTAACTTGGCCACAAGGGGTCTGTGGCGTTGTGAAGGCAGCCAGGATCAGAGGATTTAACTGCTTGAGCTTCAGCCTGGGTCACAGCCTGGGTAAGAGATCTTCAACGGCTCTTGGAAGATAAGTGTGTTTACAGGGGAGTTCTGTTTTGTTCTAGATTTGTGATTCTGCTCTCCTATGTATGTGGAGATTATCTATGGCACACTTGAAATTTCATGTTGAATTTCAGAATTCACCATGCTTCTTGGTTGACTCACCCACTACTAGGTAGTTATACCAGGGAATTTATTATGATTAGAAGTCACACATAGTCAGGGATGTTTATGTTCTGGATGAAACAACCCTGCATTTGAGAGTCCACATCTGTACCATTTTTCCTTTCCATTGACATCAGCAATCCAGAATTGACTATAATAGAAATTGATCTGTCCAAACTTCCTTTTTATAATCATAGAATGTTTAAGTTGATAATCTAATTTTAGCATTGTTTTGGGTAACAATTATTGGGAGATCTGTATTCTTGAATGAGTCTTCCTTATTTTCTTCCTCTAGAAAGTAGGCCGTTTTTTTTTTTTATCTACCTAACAGTTCCTTTGCACAAAGTGGGTGCTTATCTGTTAATTGATTTATAGATTTAATTCTCCACTCTCATAAATGAGTTCAGTAATTTAAAAATGGTAACACATTTATTCATTGTAGAAAATTTATAAACAATAGAAAAACACAAAGAAGAAACTATCATACAACAAAAATCCTGGATAAACTTACTGTCTAGACTGTAGTTAACCCATGTTAACATTTTTTATTTTGTTTTGTGTGAGTGTACACACACTTCAAACTTTATATACAAGTGGGATTATGTTCTGTCCTTTTGTTTATCATGTTATGCATTATTCTATGATCTTATGTTCAATGGCTGCATTATAGAGGCTGGGTGATTTTGGAGGCAGGATGTCTGTGGAAATTCCTCTCTGTATATCCAGATTTTGCCCACCTCCAAGGCTTAGCCTCCATGTCGCTCCTGTTTTGAACCTTTCCCTTAGCTGCTTGTCTACCAGTTGTTTCCATCTTTGAGCTCCTGTAGCATCATCTGTTGTCTTCATTCAGGTTTTGTTCCCTGCCTTATTTCAGGGGAAGATTTAAGGTGCCTTGCTTCTTATGAGTATGTTCTCCCCAAGCAGAGTGTGCTTTATCTGGATCTTATAGTTTTTTCCATGCTTAGTGCCCTATACCTTACACAGAGGCATTTGATAAATGATTGGTGAAGATGGTAACTGCTCAGTGTAGGTAGGGTACTTTAGAAAATCAGTTTGAGTTTGCAGGAATTATCTCTACCTCTGAGGATAACTTTAGGTTGCAGGTGATAATTGGCTACACCTGAAGCCATAGGGGCATGAACCTGTTTCTGCCTTGATACATCAGGGTTCTCTGAGTGAAGCATTTCTTCAAGATCTTGGGTTAAAATGTAGAATCTAGGAGTGGGAAGCCCTGACCTATGAGCCCTATAGAGTCTGGCTTCACACCACAGTTACATTCTTTCTCATGCTTTTCCTTTCCATTGCCTCTGCCCGGGATTCCATTTATGTCATCTCCCCTGGTTATCTCCTCTCCCATCTCCCTGCCTGCAGAGTCTTATGTCTCTCTCCCAGCTGCTGTGATTGTCATCTTTAAACACCCAGGTTGGACTCCTTTACTTCTGCAACGGTAAAGTCAAGTCCCGGTTTCTGGGTGGGGTTTTGGCCCCAGCTGGCCATTTCCGGCCTGGATCCCTCACTGTGCCTCTTCACGCACCCACAGGGAAATGAACCATGTATCATTCCAGGAATGCTAAGCAATTTAATGCTTCTCTGCTTTTGATCTTTTTGGAATACACTGTTCTGTTCTCCCCTTGCTTCTCCCCCTTTCCAGGTATAGAAATCATTCTTTGGGTAAAGTTTCAGCTCAAATGCCATCTTCTTCTTTTTTTTTAAAAAAAAAAGATGACCGGTAAGGGGATCTTAACCCTTGGTGTTGTCAGTACCACGCTCTCGGCCATCTCTATATGGGATCTGAACCCATGGCCTTGGTGTTGTCAGCACCACACTCTCCCGAGTGAGCCACGGGCCGGCCCCTCAAATGCCATCTTCTAAGGGAAGTCAGAATTACTTCTCCCTTCTTCTGCATGTTTGTAGTACTTTTCTTATACATTTATGGTTTTGCTGTATTTTATTGAGAGTTATATATTTGCCATATTAATAAACATATCGAGGGCAGGAACTAACTCTCTTTCATTTCTCTGTCCCTCATAGGACATAACACAGTCCATGGCACTTTGTAGGATTTGTGGAATATATTATTTCTTTCTATGACATTTTTCTTTGGATTTTGTTAATCATGAGCTGTTTAAGATAATATCAGATGCAAATTATGACGTATGTGATAAAATGGCTAACATTTATTGAGCCCTTAGTATGTACTACACATTGTTCTAAATGCTTTATGTGTATTAGCTTGTTTAATCCCTTTATTAACCCTATGATTATTATAATAGTCTTATAATTATTATCATCCTCATTTTATAAGTTGAGGAACTTGGTCAAGATCCCCTAGATAATTGGCAGAGTTGGGATTCAAATTTAAATAGTTTGCCTGTAGAGCCTGCACTCCTAACCATTATACTATACTATCAGTTTAGTGCAAAATAAGCTTTTTTGTGAGCACTGAATTATTAATTTGTTTAATGACATTCATAGGATTTGATTTATAAGTATTTGATACCTCCCACAATGTTTTGCATTCATATCATTATTTGATGTCTGGAATAAATCAAATGATGCTTAACCCTTAACCTGCTGGGAGGATTTGCCATACTTTTCTCATAGGGTTTAAGATTCATTGGCTTCCTGAAGTTTAACATTTGAAAGAATTGTTAGAAACATTGTCACTAAATGGTCTGGTATTCTTGTTCTTAGGATGGGGGTTCCTTGGATCAAGTCCTGAAGAAAGCTGGAAGAATTCCTGAACAAATTTTAGGAAAAGTTAGCATTGCTGTGAGTATGTTGTGAAGTTTTTCTTTCAAGTTCCCTCACTGATAAGTTAATGAATTGGTATAAAATGGATGAAGAAGGAAAGTAGGAAATCAACAAGGGGAAAGTTTATAAGAAAGGTTGGGTTTTCTCACTAGAATTTTTCCTGTCTAGAGTCTAGATACAATGTTCTTTGTTTCTCTTTCTCTTTCATTAGAATGAGAAAAGTAACTGTGTCTTGAAAAGTAAGACAAGGTATCCAAGAAAATTCCCATTTGTGATATCAGAAAGCTTCTTTTTCAGATTGCAGATTTAGAAAAACATGAATTCAAGCAGTGTTTTTAAAAGTTTAAACTTGCCATAATTAGTTTTACTTAAAAATAATATTTTATATACCATGTAAAAAGATGGTTGCTTAATAAGTTATGTTAAAAAAATGAAATAAAAGAAAGATTAAATAAGGGAAGGCAAATTTGTAATGATGTTAGATGAAATATTTTCTAGATCTTTTAAAAATAGATTATATTTCTACACATCACTATTTCTGTTTCCCATCTTTTTATATTCCCTTTTCTCTAGGTAATAAAAGGCCTGACATATTTGAGGGAGAAGCACAAGATTATGCACAGAGGTAAGAAATTACTTGCTAGTTGCTATGTTTTGAATTTTAGCTGAAATTCAAAGATTCTTGCATCTTCTGCTTTGTTGTTTTGGTGTAAAAGCCTTTTAATAATGTTTTTTTATCTTTATTACAAGACTTTGTTTAGTTTGATGGGCCTGGGCAGCAAGTCCCACCTTCTTTTGGTCTTGATACACCTGTTACCCGAGGCTGTGACAGATGTAGTCACCCAGCAAACCCAGGCTAAGATCCTCAGCCAGTACTTAGGTACCCAATCCCCAATGTCACTGTCTATCCACTGGACTAGGTTATACAGGCCCCAAACCACGACTAAACCAGCTGTATATGAGTTTGACTATAAAAGAAACTCTGGTTTCTTTTAATAACTGTATGTAAACTCATACACTTACCCTATGACCATGTTATTCTTAGGTATTTATCCAAGATAAATGAAAACATACATCCACAGACCTGTACACAAATGTTTAAAGCAACCATATTCCTAGAAGAAACAGCTGAAATGTACTTCTGCAGGCAGAGATAAACAAATTATAGTATATCAATACAATAGAATACTAGTTAACTATAAACATTAACAGGATATCCTCAACTTTGATGAATCTCAAAAACATTTATGAGCAAAAGAAGCCAGACACAAAATAGTTCAAACTGTTTCCACGTGTATAAAATTATAGAGAAGGGGCTGGCCCGTGGCTCACGTGGGAGAGTGTGGTTGCTGATAACACCAAGGCCACGGGTTTGGATCCCTACATAGGGAGGGCCGATTAGCTCACTTGGGAGAGCATGGTGCTGACAACACCAAGTCAAGAGTTAAGATCCCCTTACGGGTCATATAAATGAATGAATGAATGAATGAGAAAACAACAATAAGTCTATAGTGACAGTAGATCTGTGGTTGGCTAAGGGTCTAGGGAGAGATTAACTTCAAAGGGACTTTTTGTGATAGTGGAAATGTTTTAATAATGGTGGTGAATACATGGGTATATACATTTATTGAAAATCAAACTGTCTACTAATATGTCTGTATTTTACACTATGTAAATTATACCTCAATAAAATTTATTTTAAAAAAGATGAAGAAGCCAGAGAAAAGAAAATTGGAAAACATAGTGCTATTGATCATATCCTTTCAGCTGCAGTACTGCTGACAGTAACATGTATAAAGAGGAAGGACTAAGGAGGAGATGGGTGGATTGATGGAATTGATTGGCCAGCTTACGAGCCATCATATATTAGGTGATAAATTCTTTTTTTTTTTTTCTTTTTGTCTTTTTTACTGACTGGTAACGGGATCGCAACCCTCGGTGTCGCGCCCGTACCGGGGACCGGCAACGGGATCGCAACCCTTGGTGTTGCGCCCGCACCGCGCTCAGCCAGTGAGCGGGAACCGGTCTCTACATGGGATCCAAACCCTTGGCGGGAGTGTCGCCGCGCTCCCAAGTGGCGCACTCTCCAGTGCGCCACCGGGCCGGCCCTAGGTGATAAATTCTACCTGTGAGCAACCTGAGCATTGAAGTGAACCAGCTTAGGCAAGGCTGCCTCATGGGTTTATAGCTGACAATCCCCCTTTCCTTCTCCTACTGTTCTTTTTGTTATTACAGCTTCTTCAAAATACTGATTTTTCAGGTCTTCAGTTAGAGCTCACCTAATTGGGGCAATGTTTGCAATGTTAGAGGGTAGTTCTTTTTTTTTTTTTTTTTCCTTTTTGTCTTTTTTTCATGTCTGGCAACGGATCGCAACCCTCAGTGTTGCGCCCGTACTGGACCGGACTGGTAACGGGATCGCAACCCTCAGTGCTGCACCCGCACCTCGCTCAGCCAGTGAGCGGGAACCGGTCTGTATGTGGGATCTGAACCCTCTGCTGGAGCGCTGCCGCACTCCCAAGCGGCGCACTGTAGACCGGGCCGGCCCTAGAGGGTAGTTCTGATTCAGTAGTTCTGGGGAGGGGCCTAGAAATCTGAAATTTTCAAAATAGGCGCTGTTTTTTAAAAAAAATAAAAATCACCGTTTTAACCATTTTAGGTGTACAGTGCAGCGGCATTGAGTACATATACATTGTTGTGCAGCTATCACACAACAATGTATATGTACTCTTTTCATCTTACAGAACTGAAACTCTACCCATTTAACTCTTTTCATCTTGCAGAACTGAAACTCTGTATTTAATAACTCTATTTCCCCCTCCTCCCAGTCCCTGGAAACCACCATTCTGCTTTCTGTCTCTGAGTTTGACTACTCTAGGTACCTCGTATGAGTGGAATCCTATAGTATTCGTCCTCCTGTGACTGGTTTATTTCACTCAGCATAATGTCTTCAAGGTTCATCCATGTTGTTGTATGTGATAGGCACTGGTAAGTAAGCACTGATTCTGGTGCTGTTGTCCATAGCCATGCTTTGAGAAACACTGCTTTGGGTATAGTGACTAGCTAGATGGGCTGACTGGAAAGAAAAAGAGTAATGGTAGTTCCTCCTTAATGGGCTTCTGGGGGAAGAAAAGAAATAGAAAATGAAGCATGAAGAGGAATGTTGTACACATGTTTCCTCTCATTCCAAGGAAAATTTCGTAAAATATTGATAGGTTTCTGTTCAAGGCAGAGTTGTATGTTGGAATTTGCATGGCCAACTTATAGCTTGTGCATATGGTTCAGTACTGTGCATCTATTAATTTCTTTTGTTTTTTGGGGGGGTGGCTGGCTGGTATGGGGATCTGAAACCCATGACTTTAGTGTTATAAGGCTGTGCTCTAACCAACTGAGCTAAGTGTCCAGCCCCTATCACCCTATCAATTAATTCCAACCTGGGCCATCAAACTGCATTGCTTAGGACTAGAGATTATTCTGACAAGAGCCGGGGGGGAAAAAAAATCTCAAAGAAAACTGATGTTAAAAAGGAAAACTGGGGCTGGCTGGTTAGCTCAGTTGGTTAGAGGATGGTGCTGATAACACCAGGGTCCAGAGTTCCATCCCTGTACCAACCAGCAGCTCCCCTCTGCACCAAAAAAAAAAAAAAAAAAGAGGGGGAAATTACGCTTCCATTTCTGAAATTTTTAGGAGTTACTGGTGACAAACTTGCCCTCTCACCATAAACAGCTATAAAATTGGAGAAAACATATGGAAGCAGCAGTTATTAGACCTGGACAATAGATAGTGCAGGACTGAGATCTGTGAGGTAAGGGAAACAGAACTGATGAGGCTTATAATTGCTCTAGCTTTCTGCCTTGAAGTACTTTACTGGTTTCCTTGAGTTTGTTGCTATATACTGATCTGCACATATGTAGAGTGAAAATCTATCAGACCAGGCAGAAAAATACCAAGGAGATATAAGCTAAACAATTCCCAGAGTTTTCACAGGGATGAGAGAAGTTCAAGTTCCAACCATTCAGAATGGAAAGCCATAATTAAACACCTGGGAAACTCCATAGAAACCCCAGAAGGGCCATGACTTAGTAGTGGGGCTAAACTAGCTTTAGAGAAAAGGCTGTCTTAAGCCCTTCCAATAAAACCATAAAACAAAGCTCTGAAGCATCGAGCTGATCCACAAGACATCAAGAGCATGCCAAAAGCAAGTCTAACACTCATCAAAGGAAGACAACAGAATCCAAACCCTCATATTCATAGTGTCCAGCATGTAATAAAAAAATTGCTAGACATGCAAAGAGCCAGGAAAATGTGACCCATACCAGAAGAAAACTGTCAATACAAAGAGACCCAGAAATGAAAGAGATGATGGAATTAGCACAGTGACTTTAGAACAGGTATTATAAATACGCTCAAGCATTTAAAGGAAAAGATGAATATAAAGTCACAGAAATGGAAGATATAAATAAAGAACCATGGAACTTCTATGCATGAAAAATTTGATATCTGAAATGAAAAATTTTTCTTGTGCAGATTAGTCCCTGCACAGGAAAAGATCAGTAAACTCGAAGATGTTACAGTAGAAACTATCAAAACTGAAGTACAAAGAGGAGAAGACTAGAAAAAGACAAAAGAGCAGAACCTTAGAGATATGTGGGACAAGATCAAGTTGTCCGGTACATGAAATTGGAGTCTGAGCAAGAGGGCCAGAAAGGTATTAGATCTATGGGCCAATTTCAGAGACATATGGGGTAATATCATGCAGTCTAACATACAAGTACTGAGTCCCAGGAAAGGATGGGCAGGACAGATATTTGAAAAAATATTGACTGAGCATGTCTAATTCATCAGTCCCTAACCTGATAGCTGAAAATAGCTCCTCTTTAAAGGTTTGTTAAATGGATGAATGTGTGATTAACTTGTGCCAGAACACACAGGGAGTCAACAGTGAAACTGGGTCAGGAGCCCTTGTCTCCTGTTTTTCTCTACCATGTACCTACTATGGACCATGCCCTGTGTTTTACAATGAAGAGCTCTAACTTTGTTTCTATTCCAGAGAGAGAGAGAGGTTTCAGTTCATTTCTGGAATAACCAGTTTTCTTTTCCCTTTGGCCTAGTGCTGCCCCTACTTTCTCAGGGCTTGCTTTTCTGGCTTCACCAATTGTTGCTCTTTGGCATGAAGAGCTGCTTTGGGAGCCAGATGAGTCTCTGGACAGATGTCTTTGCTGGAGAGTTCACCCACTTGCCCAGCCTGGAATGGGAAGTCCCTAGAAGGACTTCTGCCCCAGTGAGCATGCCTGCATGGGCTGGGCTGGCTGCTCAGCTTCTCAGACTCTTGTTGTTTGTGGGTCTTCTCCAGAAGCCCTGGAAGAGTTAAATGTAAGGCCTGAATGGTGGAATGGTACTTTCACACAGCTTGATTCCTGAGCAATAAGCACGGCAAGTGGATGATTCTGGGAAACCTGAGTTAGGATGAAAATGGGAGAGAGCCCTTCTTAGCCTTACTGGTGGGTGGGTTGTGGGTTCAGTCCCCTCCCAGAAGGGTCCAGGGTCAGTCCCTTTGAAGCATCCTTTCCCACAACAGTCATGCAGGTATTGAGGAACACCATTCTGTCCTGCTAAGTGTTGGGGCAG